AGCACCCCCATGATCCAATCACCTCCCACCAGGCCCCACCTCCAACACTGGGGATTACAACTGACCAGAAGATTTGGTGAGGACACAGATCCAAACCACGAGAGAGCAAGGGAGGTGAGGACACAGAGGAAAAGAGCTGGGATGTTGTACAAGAAGACAGGGAGCAGAGTCAGAACCCAGGCAGGCTTCAGCGACCTGGAAACACCTGCTCCTGCGCTTGGGGCCAGACACAATGGTTCTGATGGGACGCCCACACCCATGGTCTGCAGCGGGTTTTTTCTAGAGCAATTAGCCAGACTTTGGCCTGCAGACCTCCTAGAAAAGGGCCTACATGGACCCACTACTGCTAGAGTTCAAGTCTCTGGAGTAAAGCAGAATGCAGAAGAAAGAGCATGAATCCCGTGTGCTAGTTAACCACAACCTCCGCCTCCCAGGTGCAAGCGATTCTCATTCTCAGGCCAGCTTCCCTTTCCTATTGAGACCCTCCAACCCTGAGAGGAGGAAGACTAGCTGGCTAGCTGGAGGCACTTCTTATTCCATACGAACTAGGAGATTGCTGTTGTTTTTGTAATTGTTTTAATATCTCCAGCAGGAGCTGGAGATCCTGGCAAGAACTGTCATTCAATAAACACCTGGTAAATGAAACCAAATTTTCTCCCTATTCCCGATGCTAAAAGAATGAGATCCTGCTGGACTTCAGACCTCCACACAGCTTGTCAGCTTGCCATCTGTTCTTGTCTCAGGCTACCTGCTTTATCCTGCCAACATCATCTTCCTGAAACACCCTGATCGTCACAGTCCTGTCTGTCCAGTACCTGGCAGAGACAAGCACGCAATCTCGGCTCGTTAGCCTTCAGCTCACCTCCCTCTGCACAGCTGCTCCTTTCTTAGTTTGCCAGCTGCACATTTCACAGCCTACTCCACTGGGTTTCCATGTGAAGTCAGCTTCAGCCAATCATCAAAGGAGCATTTTACTTAGTGCTTGTCACGTGACAGGCACTGGGCCAGACCCTTCCACATACGGCATCTCCTTTAGGCTCGTAAAAACCCTGAGAATCAGGTCCACTCACTTCATCACGTAGTTGTGGAAATAGACTGGGAGCCTGTGGGTAACTTGCCCAAGGGCCCAGCCTATCCAGTGGCACAGTCACAATGAGGAACCTGGAACCCAGGTTTGAGTCTACCACCAAAGCACACTCAGTAAAGTGCCTCCAGACAGAGGCCCCTGGAACAAGACGCAGCCTGCCAGCAGTTCCGTGGGTCTCCAAACACACACTCTTATCCCCAAACCACTCCAGACTCACCCAGGCCTAGAAAGCACCCATCCTCCTCAAGACTGCCCACCCAGCAGGTTGTCCAGAACAGTATCTCCCATTCTGGTGTTGGCCAAGGGTATAATTCTAGGTTTGAGACTCCTGCCTTAGGTCTTCTGTCTGACTCAGCTGTGCTGAGTCATGCATTTATTTGCCAATGGATCCTTCTGCTCATTTGTACCAGTACCCAACGGATTAAGTACATACTCCCCACCTTAGTTTTATGATTAGCTGTTTTCTGAATGCTGACCAGGAACCAAGCACTATACCAAGTATTTATACAAATTATCTCTTTTAATTGTCTTCATACTCTATGGTAGTTTCAATCACTGGGCAGTCATTTTACAGGTGAGGAAATGGAAGCTTAGTGACGTTACAAAACTTGTTCAAGGTTACAAAGCATTAGAGCCGGGACTTGACCCAGGCAGCACATGTGGCCTGGACAACCATACCATTAACACTCAGATCTACAGCTCCTTCCCAGATGGTCCACTTATTACTGACCAGTCTACACCACACACACACACACACACACACACACACACACACAAACACACACACATATACACATACAGAGCTACCCTATGTGGTCCTAAAATGATTAAAGCCAAGCCAAGAATCCATTCATTCACCCCTCCACCTAACTTCCAAGTGACCCCACCCTTGCCAAACTTCCTGTGAGCTACTTTATAACCACTGTGAGCAAGAGAAGAGCAGGTCAAGACTGAAGGTGGTATGACACCCACTAGCCTGTCTTCCCACTGGGCACTGCCTCCTAATCTTGTGTTCTGCAGGCCTCAAATCTCCTGGCAGAATTTCCAATCCCCAAGGCTGAAATAACATTTTTAAAAGGTTCACAGAAAATTTCTTGAGGGACAGCCACTCCTAGAGTTCAGCTTCCAGCATGTTAGCCACCTAACCTACTCTCTGTTCCCCCACAGAGGCCCTTGATTTATCATCTGGGTGGCCTTGCTTATGCCATTTGGAGCAGGAGGCACATAGCCAACAGGATGATAAGCCTGGGCCTGGGCATCAAATGTGCCTGGCTTTACAGTGCTGCAGTTCTTCATCTGTTACACCAAAATAATCATATCTACTTCAGAATGCTGTAGTGGAGATAAATGAGGTAACGTATATTAAGTGCTCGGTATACAGTAAGTGCCCAATAATTGGTAGCTATTATCATTTTCTCACCCTCCCACCCAGAATATGCTTCCCAAGTCCACCATATGTTCCACTTCCACCATTACTTTAAGACTTAATTAATGCAAGTGGCAACTCACCCAGTTCCTAGCCAGGTGAGTTCAGTTCAGTAGAACCAATGCCAACGGAGCATCCGCTATGCACCACCCACCATACCAGGTATTGGGGATACAAAAATAAATAAGACAGGCCCCTGAATTTAAGTTCACAGCCTTAAGGGAAACAGAAAAGAAACAGCTCACTTCAATAAGTGCAGGGATATAAGATGCTGTGGGAACAGGAGGGGTGAGTTAACCATCACTGAGGGTCCTGGGGGCAAAGATGAGGAGTCTGAGCTGAATTCTGAAGGCAGTGAGAAACTACTGAAGGAATTTAAGCAGAGGGGTCAAATGCACAGACTTACGCTTCATAAAAGAATCACTTTAGTAGCAATGTAGTAAAAGAAGTTAGGAGAGTATGAATCATCCAATCAGGAAATGGTACCCTTAACAAGACAGTGCAGGGGAGGGAGAGGGAAAGAAAGGATGGATTTCTTTTTTTTATTATTATTATACCTTAAGTTGTGGGGTCCATGTGCAGATATTGCAGGGTTGTTAGATAGAAATACACATGCCACGGTGGTTTGCTGCCTCCATACCCGGCATCACCTACATTAGGTATTTCTCCTAATGCTATCCCTCCCAATCTCCCCACCCCCTGCTATCTCTCCCTACCCCTCCACCCCCAACAGACCCCAGTGTGTGATGTTCCCCTTCCTGTGTCCACGTGTTCTCGCTGTTCAACACCCACTTATGAGTGAGGACATGTGGTGTTTGGTTTTCTGTTCTTGTGTCAGTTTGCTGAGAATGATGGTTTCCAGGTTAATCCATGTCCCTGCAAAGGACATGAACTCCTGAAAGGATGGATTTCTAAATTATGAACATGAAAGACCTTAAAATTGGGTGTTGGGCAGTGTCCAATTCTTCACTGTTTCAATATTAAGGGAGAAGGAGGCAACACAGAGGTCACTGTATCCATCACATTTTAGGAATCAACTCTTGCATGGCACTTATGACAATTTAACTTGCATTGTAGTTATCTGTTGTTTGTTCATGTGGTGAATCGACTAACATTTACTGTCCACTTAAACACCAGGTACTGCCTTGGGCGAAGGTTTCAATGGCGAATCATTGATAAGAAGCATCAGCAAAGATCAAGGGAAAGATATAAGCCCTGGGGAATGGTGTGGTTTGGCTGGAAGGTGTGATTGGAAGATGTGGGGAACCCAGCTTGAGACTCAGAAGGGGTCAGACTATGTAGGGCTGCGGCTGAAGAGTTTGAGCCCTGAGTGGTGCACATGAGGAGACATGGAATGTTTTAAACAGGGGAGAGAGGAACAGATTCTTTCACAGAGGAGACCCCAGAATGTCTTACTTGTCTCTCCTTTGGGAATCCCTGGGGCCTCACATTTTCCATTTCTTTTTCATGTTGGTTCTCTCCTCTCTGGAGGGGCTTGTTCCCCTATAATAAGCCTGGGAAACCCTCCTGCTCCTCTCTGGAAAGTAGGACAGAAGTCCAAGGGACGGTGAAAACTTCGTGTCAAGTCGTCACAGATGGCAAAGACCCTGGGTGCACGTAGTTTCTGGATAAACACCTTAGTATGTTTTTACTCCCCCTCATCTCAAAATGCCCAGCCACCCAGGCTGGAGTGCAGTGGCATGATCTCGGCTCACTGCAACCTCTGCCCCCATGGGTTCAAGTGATTCTCCTGCCTCAGCCTCTTGAGTAGCTGGTACTACAGGTGTGTGCCACCATGCCCAGCTAATTTTCGTATTTTTAGTAGAGACGGGTTTTCATCACGGTGGCCAGGATGGTCAACGTCCTGTGATCCACCCACCTCGGCCTCCCTAAGTGCTGGGATTACAGGCGTGAGCCACTGTACCCAGCTTTTTTTCATTATTATTATTTCTTAAGGGATCAGCTCTCTATTTCTGGGGAGAACCACTTCAATTCTTTATCAACAGAATACATATTTACTGTAATTAATGATCAGCAGGGAGAAGATAAAGAAAAAAGAAAAAAAAAACAAAAACAAAAACAAAATACCAAGGCATCCAGAAATCCATTTGGCTTCAGAACATAAGAGATTTTCAGAAATAAATTTATCACCTTACATTGGTTTGATTCAGAATTAAAATGAGTTCATATTCTCTGAGTCCGCACTGTGACTGTCCATGGAAGACCTCTCAAGACAGGGTTTGGGATTGTGGGAGAGCCCAGGGTTCAAAATCCACTGCAAATAATGCCAAAGATTTTCTGTGTATGAACGGTTAAGGGTTGGCTATACTATTTTCTCATTAAACTGGACTACAACAATAGAGTTTGGGGATAATCACATCTAAAGGGCACTGTGATGTTTGCATCCAGCCCGCTGTCTGGGGACCCCATGCTCACAGGCCTCCATCACAGACCCCCCCCACAAACACACACACATGCCGGGCCTACCTGCTGGGCTGCCTCATGGAAGAGCTCCTGCACCTGGGGCATCTGGGTCATTCTCCAGCAAACGGGGATCCTGGCGGTCTGGGCGGGGAGACCCCTCTGGAAGGTAACACCATCCTCGGTCAGGCTGGCTCCTTTTCTCCTCTCTCCTTGTTGTCCATTCTTTCTCTCTACCAGAATTGTTCAAACTACCTGGCTGAGTGAGGAGGGGCCTTGTCTACCTCATCGGGAAACTTGGCCAGGTTACCTTTCTGGTACCCACCTGTGGGTAGAATAGAGCCCACCTGTGCTGGAACCTTGTTGCCCTAAAGCCTCAGGCACACAGCTCTCTCCTTCCTTGAGCTTCTTCAGCATGTGAGGGTCAGAGCCAGCTGCTGGGCTGCCCAGCCCTGGAGGACACAGAGTCACACTCCTCTCCCACCTCTAGGTGCCTCTTGGGCCTGGCTGTCTAGGCCGAGGGCACCATGACTCACTAGACCTGGCTGCAGGTGGTGAGTGAATGCAGCTGCGCCATGAGCAGAGGCAAGAGGGACCATGAGGAGGCTGTCTTGAGGCCCCTCTGGAGCAGGGCCGGAGAAGGGCAGGGGAGTGAAGAGGGTGGGCGAGAAAAGGCTGGTCGGGACCAGGGCAGCTCCCCATCCCACCCCAGGCACTCCCCGCTTCGCACTGGACCTGGCTTCCCTTGGGGCGGGGATTTTGCCCCCTGATCTGTGTGGCCCCTCTCCCCAGCACAGTGCTGCAAGACTGGGCTCAGGACACTTTGGGAGGAGGAGGAAGGGGGAGGAAGAGAGCAAGGCTGAGGGGTAGAGCTGGTCGTCCTGGGAAGAAGGCCACTGAAGACAGCAGCCGGCGCTGGCGAGGAGGGAAGGCTCCCGGAGCACTAAGAGTTGAGGGCTGGAGGAGCAGCGTTTGCCCAGTGGGAAGCTGGGGGACTTGGTGGGCTGCATTCCTGACAGGGTGAAAGGTAGGGGCCCAGAGCGCCCGGGTGTCCCCGGCTGCCCGCGCCGCACAGAGCAAGGGATCCCAGGCCTCCGCCTGCCCTTCCCGCCGCCCCGCGGAGCCCCGACCCTCCCGTCTGGGCCGCGCTGGGACCCGGGCCCCTTGACACCCTACGCAGACGCGAACCCTCACCCCGAGTTCGGGGGCCAGGCCCGTGTGCAGGCACGCAGGTGGCCGGCGGCAGGAGAGGTTCCACCTAGGCAGGCAGATGGGGGCAAAGGTGACCCCAGACCTGCCCCTAACGCGGGCCGGGGACCCTCCCGGGGAGAGTAACAGTCCGGAGACCACCCTCTCCACCCCCCGCAGCCCTTCCGTCCTCACCTGCTCCCGGGACAGCCGGCTTCCAGCGCCGGGCCCGCCCGGTCCCCGCCCCGCCGCCACGTGGCTGCCCCGGCTCGGTTGCGCGGGTCCCAGCTGTCCATTCCGGGCGGGCGCACCCCTGCCACGCCAGCACCGGGAGTCTCGGGTCCAGGTGGAGAGGAGCGGCTGCAGCAGCTTTCCCTCCTCAAGGGTCGGGCCTCCGCGCCTGCCTGGAAAACAACCTCCACCTGGGTAAGGGCGGGGCCGCGGGGAAACCCGGAGTAGGGGCCGCAAGCCCACGGGCTCGACGTGACCTGCCACGGCCGCTCCCCCCTCGACAGTGCCACCAGCGGAGATGCGCAGCCCCGGGACCAGGAGGCCAGGGACAGGAGCGACCCTGTGCGCCTCTGAGGAATGGCTGTGAGCACTGCACGCCGGACTAAGAACGCCCTGGGTGCAGGGAAACCTGCAGCCTCCTGGGCATGTGCCGAGAAGCATCTGGACAAGCTGACGGAGACCCCCGCACCGGGGGTCTCCGTGTGCACCTGGCTGCGTGATCAGGTGACCCCAGACTCTGAGGGTGGAACTGCTTTTGCCAGGAAAGTGTTCTGGGCATGCTGTGTAGGGCGAATTCCCCTAACCCCCTTCAGCAAAATCCAGAACTGCCTTCCTAGGGGTGAAGTAAGGTTTCCAGGGCCTCACGTTGCAGGAAAAAAAAAAAACGAAATTAACATACAGAGAGATTAAATTATCTTCATTCCCAATCTGGCGTAGTTCCTAAGTCTTAAATAACTTTCGAGGCTTCCATGTGGGCTTCTGAGAAACAGGAGGGCAGCTGGGAGAACTTCCCACGCCCACAAGCCTTTGCGTGAAAATCCCTAAAAATAGAGGTTGTTTTTTTAAAAACAAAAGGGAAGGCAAAGCCATGGGAACACTGACAGAACCTCACCTCTCCCTTCTGCTCCAGCAAAGACGTGTGTGAAGATATAGAACATAAAATTTGCCATTTTTACCATTTTAAGTATACAATTCAGCAGCATTAATCACACTCACAGTATTGTACAATCATCCCCCACTATTTCCGAAACTTTCATCATCCCTGATAGAAACTCTGTACCAAGTACTAACTCCCCATGTCGTCTACCCACAGAGGTAACTCTCCCCCATCGACTTTCCATCTCTATGAATTTACCTATTTTGTATACTTCATGTAAGTGGAATCATACAATATTTGTCCTTTTGTGGCTGGCTTACTTCACTCGGCATAATATCCTTAAGGTTCATCCATTTTGCAGCATGTGTCAGTATTTCATTCCCAGCAAAGAAGTTTTTAATAACCCCATCTCTGCCAGAAAAAAAAAGATCCCCCCCCCAAAAAAAATTAGAGATTAGCCATCTGTGAACCAAGGATGAATGGGTGGATGGATCCCCTTGGCACCTGTAGATTAGTTCCAGGCTCCTTGATGGATACCCAAATCCACAGATGCTTATATCGCTGATATAAAATGATATAGTATTTGCATTTAGCCTATACACATCCTCCCATATATTTAAGTCATCTCCAGATTATTTATAATGCCTAATTCAAGGCCAGGCACAGTAGCTCACACCTGTAATCCCAGCACTTTGGGAGGCCAAGGTGAGAGGATCGCTTGAGCCCAGGAATTCAAGACCAGGCTGGACAATATAGTGAGAGCCTTATCCCCACAAAAGAAATTTTAAAAATTAGCTGGCATGGTGGTGCATGCCTGTAGTCCCAGCTACTTGGGAGGCTGACATGGGAGGATTGCTTGAGCCCAGGAGGTTGAGGCTGTAGTCAACCGTGATCATACCACTACACTACAGTCTGAGTGCTGAGTGACAGAGTGAGACCCTGTATTAAAACAAACAATCAAACAAAAAAACCTATGTAAATCATTATTATACTATATTATTTAGGGAATAATTTTAGAAGAAAAATTTGTGCAAATGCAGCCATCTTTTTTTTTAACAATTTTTTTTTTTTTTTTTTTTTTTTAGATGGAGTCTTGCTCTGTCACTGGGCTGGAGTGCAGTGGCAAAATCTCAGCTCACTGCAACCTCTGCCTCCTGGGTTCAAGTTATTCCCCTGCCTCCACCTCCCAAGTAGCTGGGACTACAAGTGTGCACCACCACACCTGGCTAAGGTTTTGTATTTTAGCAGAGACAGGGTTTCACCATGTTAACCAGGATGGTCTCCATCTCCTTACCTCATCATCTGCCCACCTCAGCCTCCCAAAGTGCTGGGATTACAAGCAGGAGCCACCGTGCCCAGCCACCAAATATTTTTGACCTGCCATTGGTCAAATCCACAGATATGAAGGTCTGACTGTATGTACTTCTATATATTCATCAGTATGACCAGCAAGGCCATTTGTCTTATTCACTTTTGGGGGTCATATATGACATTTATTTATTTATTTTTGGTCTCAAGCTGGTTTCCTGTTCACTATCACCTTCTCGTAAGCCTCCCTCTAAGTGTCAACGTGAATTTTGAAGAATCTGCATTCAATTACATATCAGCCTGAGTTAACATTAGAAAAGGAAATCCACCTCTCGCTTTATAACCACCTACTTCCTCTCACTCGTCATTTTCTAAATAAATGACAAGTTTCCTTCAAAGCTTAAAAGCATCTTTTAAACCCAGGAACAAATTTACTTGTTTCTTTTGTGTTAAGGCTAGAGAAACCTGCCCTTTGCAAAGAAAAAAAAAAAATCCTCCTTAATGTTGATTTTTTTCTTACAACAATGACACTAACCTTTAACAAAAAACACTCATGTTAAAAAATAGTATCCTGGCTGGACAAGGTGGCTCATGCCTATAATCCCAGCACTTTGGGAGGCCAAGGCAGGTGAATCATCTAAGGTCAGGAATTCAAGACCAGCCTTGCCACCATGGTTAAACCCTGTCTATACTACAAATGGAAAAAATTAGCCAGGGGTGGTGGTGGGCACCTGTAATCTCAGCTACTCGGGAGACTGAGGCAGGAGAATCGCTTGAACTTGGGAGGCAGAAGTTGCAGTGAGCCAAGATCATGCCACTGCACTCTAGCCTGGGTGACAGAGTGAGACTGTGTCTCAAAAAAAAAAAAGGGAGAGAGAAAGAAAAATAGTATCCTGCCTATCCTTTAAACATTGCCATTTTTAAGATACTGCCCTATATGAACTAGTATAAACATGTTTGTTGCATTATTGATTTATAATACTTTAAACAATGAGAACAACCTAGATGTCCAACGACAGAAGACTGCTTAGAGAAGTGATGGTACAGCCACGCCATGACAGCCAGCATTAGAAAGAATTAGGTGTTTCTGGACAGGCGCAGTGGCTCACGCCTGTAATCCTAGCACTTTGGGAGGCTGAGGGGGCAGATCGCCTGAGAGCAAGAGTTTGAGAACAGCCTGGCCACCATTTCTAATAAAAATACAAAAAATAGAAATCTCATTTCTAATAAAAATCCAAAAAAAAAAAAAAAGCATTCATGTAATCCCAGCTACTTGGGAGGCTGAGGCACGAATACTACTTGAACCCAGGAGGCAGAGGTTGAAGTGAACCGAGATGGTACCACTGCACTCCAGCCTGGGTGACAGAGTGAGACTCTATCTCAAAAAAAGAAAGAAAGAAAGAATTAGGTATTTCTATATGTACTGACATGGAACTCTGTTCATCACATAATAATGAATAAACACAGCAAATTGCAGAATAATGCATAGTGTTTTTTAAAAAGTACTATATACATATACTGCTTTTACATATATATGTGTATATACATATATATATATGCACATACAAACCATATATATAGAGAGAGAGTATATATATACATATATATATATATGTGTATATATATATATATGTATATGGTTTGTATAAAAAATACAGATTGATCTGTTAATAGTGGTTATCTCCAGGGAGTGATTGAGATAGCGAGTATAGACTTTGGTGTATAAATTCTGAATTTTTGTTGTTGCTGTGGTAGAGACAGGGTCTCTCTTTGTTGCCCAGGCTGGTCTCAGGCAATTCTCCTGCCTCAGCCTCCTGAAGTCCTGGGATTACAGGCGTGAGCCACCAAACCAGTCCATTCTGGATTTTTATTTAATTTTTTTTCCTTGTAGTTAGCATATGTTACTCTGGAATCTGGAGGGGTTGGGGTGAATAAGAAAATTAAAAAACAATGTGAGGCAGATTGTATTTGCCATATGCTCTTCTTGCAATATGATGTTGGGATTCCTTCTAAAGGAGAGTGGGTCTATATTCCCTCCCACTGAGCCTGAGTGGACCTTTTTAAGTGCCTCAACCAAATGGTAGAAACGACACTACATGACTTTGTGGGCCAGGTCCTAAAGACAATAGGGAGTCTGGCTTCCCCATTGTCAGCACACTTACCCTTGGGATTCAGCCACCATGTTGTGAGGAAGCCCAGGCCACATGGAGAGGCCGCATGTGGGTGTTCCAGCCAATAGCCAGTGTCAAACATGGACATGTGAGTGAAACAAGCCTGATGATGATTCCAGCCCCCTGCGGAGACTCCAGGTATTGGAGAGTAAAGCAAGCTGTCCTTGCTGGGCTCTGTTTGAATTGCTGACCCACAGAAACCATAGGAGAAAATAAATGATTGTTGTTGTTAGCCACTAAGGTTTGGGTTAATCTGTTACGAAGTGATAGTGAATCCCTAGTGCATCCAATCAAGGTTTAAAAAAAAAAACAAAACATTTAATTTTCTTTCAAAGTATTTCTATTTATTTCGTGGTTTGAATTCACTGTTTTTGAAGCCCAGTTATATTTTTAAAAGAATAATATTGTTATAAAACTCACCTTTTTTTTCTATTCCGTGACAACTCAAGGTCAAGGTGACGTACACAATAGCGAGCCTACTGCTCTGTGCATCTCGCCCAGCTCAGCAACAGGCAGCAGCTCCCTCACCTCTTTCCTTCCAGTGGCAGGCGCTGAGAACTGCCTTCTGTGTGACGGCTGGCAACGAAATCATATCCTGAAAGATGACGTCATTTGTCAGAAAGTCTGAACCCTGGAGAGGGATCAGGGCTCCGACAAAGTCAACCAGAATAGGAATGGGAAAGCGGATGGAAAACATTAAGTCATGATGTGAATAGGTATGTACACAAAAACATAACTATCTCATAGCCTAGTCCCTGGAACCATAGTCAAAAGTGCCCCGAGAGGTGGCTCAGCTAGTGTGGTGT